AGGGAGGGGTATTTGGCAGAGGCTGTGGTTGGCCGGGCCCTGCGGGATTCTTGGCAGTGCCCGGGGCTGGGGTGTCACCTGGGGGTGCCCGGGTTCAACATGCTGTTTAGAGCAGCAGGGAGACAGGCCAGGAGGCAGGAAATAGCTGTAGGCTGGCTGCTGGGGGGAGGGGTGGTGAGGTAGGAAACAGAAGAAAAAGGATTCGGTCGTGTGGCTTCTTGAGAGGGAGCAGGGACGGAAAGCCAAGACCAGGTGGCCTTGTTGATGCCCAGGCTACTGCTTCTTTTTGGGGGGCTCTTCCCGGGACCCGGAAGGAGGAGGGGCCTGCGGCCATCTGGGTCCAGGGCATTTGTCAGTGAGGCGGGGAGCCCTGCAGAGCTGGGATGGGTGAGTGACCAGGAAAAGGGTACCTGACAGTGTCCTCAGATGAGGGGGAAGGCAGGGCTTTGTCAGCCTGCTGCAGAGACCTGGGATTTCTCTGAGACTTGGAGCTTTGAGGCTGGGGGAGAGGCTGCCCACGGAACCAGCTGGGGATGGGGGGTGACTGGCCGGTTGTGTCCCCTGAGCAGGCTGCAGTGTGGAGCTGGCCCTGGAGGCTGCATCCCTGCACCCCGCACAGCTGCTGGGGCTGGAGAAACACAAGGGGACCCTGGACTTCGGGGCTGATGCAGGTCAGGGCCCGACGTGGGCACCCGGGCCGGTGAAGACTCGGGAGGGCTCGGGGACTCGGGACAGTGCCAGGGCAGGTGGGATCTTCCCTGCGCCCAGGTGGCCTTATCTGGCCACCAGCCTCAGCCCAGGTTCCTCTTCCCGTCGGGTCAGGTGAGGGGCAGCTGGGGTCTTTGTCCCGTGTGCCCTGCTTCCAGGAACATGGGTTCCAGGGCCTTGGTCAGCCTCCGATGGGGTGGGGTGGCCGTGCCCAGATTGTGTCCCAGGCTTCAGTTTCCCCACCAGCTTCTGGATGGGTGTGGGGTGGTGGTGGACCCACCCCTGCCTCTGTCTCACTGGCCGCCTCTGACCCAGACTTCGTGGTGCTCGATGACTCCCTCCATGTGCGGGCCACCTACATCTCGGGCGAGTTGGTGTGGCAGGCGGAGGAAGCCAGGCAGTGACTGAGGACCACGGCTGGAAGGGACGACCAGCCTGAGCTGGACACTGTCAGGGCTGAGCCGTCGAGGAGCTGGTCTCCAGGGAGCGAGTGGGAGCCCTGCCCCAGGTGGAGGCCTGCCAGGTGGAGGCAGCTGGATAAACGTTCGCCCCGCAGGGACTTGTCTCGTGTCTGAGTTTTGCTTCAAGGCAGAGCGCCGTCCCCTCGGTGGCTCTCTGGGTGGGGTGGGGAGGAGAGCGGCTGGATTCTAGCTGATCCCAGCCTTGGGGGGCCCCAGTGAAGGTGACAGGGCCCCTCTCTGTTGGACAGTCGAGTCTGAGGCCTGCAGCCCCACACGCAGTTGTGCTGGTTGGAAATGAAGGGCGGGAGGGGAAAGTCCTGGGTCGTAGGTTGGAAAGCGGACAGGAACGGGCTTGGGGACGGTGAGTGTGGAGGGCTCCAGAAGTTTACATGTCGGGGGACAGAGGAGAAGGGTATTCTTGGGATTTTTAAATTTTATTTTGAAGGAGGGGAGGGGCAGAGAGAGAGAATCCTAAGCAGGTTCTGCACTGTCAGTGAAAGGCCCGACTTGGTGGTCGATCCCAGCAAATTGTGAAACTGTGAGCTGAGCCGAAATCGAGTCGGACCCTTAACCGACTGAGCCACCCAGGCGCCCCAGTGCTTTCTGGGATTTTAAGTGGGAGAATTGATTGTGGGGATAATTAGGAGCTGGGGCTGGGAGGACTTGGATGTGGGAGGGGCCTCGGGTGGGACGTGCAGGGCATTTGGAGGCCAGGCCGGCTGTGTGAGGATGGCCCACGGGCTCCCCTCTGCCCCTTTAGAGTTGGGCCAGTGAAGCAGAGGCCAAGGCCATGGTGCTGGGCCTGAGCACACTGCGAGCTGTTTCTCCGTGGCCTTCAAGAGGACTCCAGGTTGCCTGGCTCTGAGTGTAGGAAGCAGTGGACGAGGGGCCCAGAGGTGACCCTGGCCACCGCTCCTTGCCCAGCACGCAGCCCTATTTCTTTGAGCCCTCAGGGTAATCAAGGCTCGGCTTCCTTTGGGGCCTTTTCTGAACATCCCCTCCTCCTCATCCGACTCCCAGGTGGGCCCGGGGATCCCACGTGCCCCCTGGGTTGTGCCGCTGTGGGTGACCCTGCCTGGTGCTGGTGGGCAGCTCGGGGATCACCAGTGTCTGGAGCCCTGCAACTATTTGCCCGTCAGTGTCATCCCGCGGCCGTCCATGTCCCCCAGGCCCGGCAGCAGTGCCCCCACGCTGGGAGCAGGGGCTGATAGGGCCGCTTTGAGGCAAGTGGGCTTTGGGGAGCCCTGCAGGTCACGAGGGCAGCCGCGATGTGGCAATCAGACATCCAGGGTTGGCGTAGCCCCAGCGCTGGGATGGATTTTGTCCCCGTTTGTGTGCTGGGGTGGGCCGCGCCTTCCCCCTTTTGAATGGGTGAAGTTCTTGGAATAGGAGGTCAAAGGCAAATGTCCCAGGTCACCTGTGGCTTGGCAACCATCCCTTTTGCCTCTGCCACAGAGCCCACTGCAGAAAGCGTGTCCAGGCCCAAAGTGACAAAAACAGCCTCTGGCCCCAGCTGTGTGCCAGGCTGAGTGAACAGTCTGGGAAGAGCCAACACCGTAAGGCAGGGCTCAGGAAAGGCCTGGGACAGCAGCCACCTCTCGGTGTACCAAGGGGCTGGGTCTCTGGCCACATGCCTGTGGGCAGCAGGGACATCACAGACCTAACAGGTGACTGACCAGCTCCTGCATCATGCCAGCGCCCGCCGGCTGCACCAGTGATCCAGGGGCAGGGCGGGTCTCCCCGAGCTCACCCTGGTGGGAGGGAGCAGGCGGTGCTCCCAGATATGTTAGAGGCTGAGCAGTGGGCACTTGCCTTATTTGGTGCTAGGTTTTATTCCACGTGTATTGCCAGTGTTAACCCGTTCTCTGCCAGACATCCAGAGGAGTCCTCCCCATTCTCAGACGGGGAAAGTGGGGCTCCCAGTTCGAGAGCTGGTGAGTGCCACAGCAAGGACTTGGCCTGGCCTGCTCAGCTCGGGGGGCCTCACTTAAACCTGTCAGCACGCTGACTCTTGGCTGGAGCATCCGGGAAGGACTAACTGCGCTACTGGTCCGCAAGGGTGACACCAGGGATGGCAGGGGCCGGTGCTGGTTGGCACGTGCACCCAGGCCAGGGGAACCGCCCCACAGAGATCCAGTGGCAGAGGCTTAGTGCGTTGGGTGGGACAGTCGGCCACCCTCGCCAGAAAGGGGTGTGGTCATCACCACCGTGGCCTCCAAAACGTCTTCGTCGCCCGTCAGAGCAGCTCTGTTCCCACTAGATTACTAATCCTTGTTACCCCTCCTCCAGCCCTGGCGCCCACCATGCCACTTTGGAGTCTGAGGCTGCTGGGTTTTGAACAGAAGATATGCTGCCATTTTAAGTAAGACCCCCAGCAGGAAGGCCCTGAGGGACTGGCTCTAGGGTGGCAAAGGCGCTGGAGACAAGTGAAGTGGAAACGTGCTTGTTCTAGTGTGGGTGTAGACCCGGACGCTGGGGGGGGGGGGGTGACTTTCATTGAGGTGGGGTCCTTGGAGAGGTGACCTGGCGCGCCATCCGTACCTCCTTCGTGGCTTGCTTTGTGTTGTACGTGAGTGGGAGGAACAGAGGGCCCAGTGGTGGCGAGACCCGATGCAGGGGCGGGTGCGTCGTGAGTCCGCGGAGTGGGGCGAGGGCCGCCTGGCGGCCGCACCTGAACACTACAGAGGCATCCACTTGAGGGTCCTGGACTGCTCAGAGTGCATACAGGTTCGAGTCCAGGCGCCGAGGCGTCCCTTCCGAAGCTTCGGTCTCCGTAGGCTCCGAGCGCAGGGTCCCAGCGCTGATTCGTGCAGAGGATCTGGGTGGTCCAGACCGGAGAAGCGGCTTAAGGGTGGGGAGAAACCGCGCCCGAACAGGGGCTGGCCGCGAACGGCAGAGCGTGCGCAGTGAGTCCGGTCCGACCCGCTCCGCCGCGGGGCGGCCTGCGGCCCAGGAGCCGGGTCTACGCGGACCTACTGCTCCTGTAAGAGGTGCGGCGCACAGGGCTGGGGGACGGGGGGGAATCTCACTTGCTTGTGGGAGGGGCTCCTCCCTGGGGGGCGGGCTCTGAAGTGTCAGAAGGGGCGGGCCTCTGCCGGGGCCAATCAGGATTGCTCTGCGGAGGGAAGACTCGCGGCAAAGCAGCCGGGACGCGCGTCGCTCGCTGACCCAGTACCGGTTAAAGGGCCGACCCGGAGCCGAGAGCCCCGGACTACGGGGCGGGGGGGCGGGGGTGCCGGGGGCCAGGGCCCCCGGCGCCCCCGCGAGCCGCGGACCCCACTGCGCCCCAAGCTGCCCGGCTACCTCTTCGCACACCTTCCGGCCTTGCCGCTCCCCTTCTTTCTCCTTCCAGTCGCGCCCATGTGCATCCCTCTTGCCCCACGGCTCCTCTCCGCCCCCCTCTGCGCCCCTTCTCTCCCCGCCCTCGTTGGCGTTGGGGAGTTGGGGGCAGGCTCCACTGCCTGTCCCGGCTTCGCCCCAGCTCGGAGCCTGCTCCGGGTCGCGGGGGGCGGGGCGGGTGGTACGGGAGGAGGTGTGGCACCAGGAGGGTGAATGGGGGTCGGCTCTGCTTAGACCCTGGGACCTCCTCCGTGTGCCCCTGTCGTCCGCAGGCAGCTCCGGGGTGGGGGGCAGCCCCGTGCCCTGAGCGGTGGCCCTCTCTGAGCCTTGCCTGCCTCCCAGTCTCCCACCATGAAGAGCTTGGTGTGATCCTTCCAACGTGATCCTGTTCCTGTCCCTACGTTTGTGTCTTGATTTGTCTTATGAACTGGAATTGTACTTTTGATACTGTTCTGCTCTTCAGTATTTTCTAGTGAAGCAGCATGAAATGGTAAGCTCCCTGGGTGGGGACACATCGAAACGTGTCACTATTTTAGCAAGGTGCTCCGTGTTCTCCAAGATGGATGCTTCGTAACGTGAAGCAGATCCCACCACGGACCAGTGGGGCTCCTCCCCCAGCACCCCAACCGCCCTGAGGAGGAGGGACCGTGGAGTGACGCGCAAGGAATTCTGGGGGCCCAGATGCACAAGTGCATCTAGAAGGCAGAAGCGCACCCTGTGTAGGCACTCCTTTTGTCCCCGTGGGTTCCCGGTTTCTGTGTGGCCACAGGAGGGCCTCCCGTGTTAGTTTTCTTTCCCTGTAACAAATTACCACAAGTTAGAGGTTCAAAAGAACACACCTTTATTTTGCAGCTCTGGAGGTTGGGGTCAGGAATAGGTCTTGCGGGCCAAAATCAAAGTGGTGGCAGAGTCTGCTCGTCCCTGGAGGTTCTGGGGGAGTCTTCTATGTCCAGCTCCCGGATGCCGTCTACACTGGTTGTCTCGTGGCATCCCGCCTTTGCAAAGCCGGTGCGGGCCAGTTGTGTCTTCCGTGTTGTCTCCCCTGAACTTGGACTCCTTTTCTTCCATCTTTTAAGGACCCTTGTGATTATATTGGGCCGAGCTGGGTAATCCGGGATAATCTTCCTCTTTTAAGGTCAGCTTATTGGCAGGCATAACTCTCCCTGTGTAATACAACATATTCACAGGTTGGGTGAACAAGACGTGGACGTTTTCGGAGGGGCCGTTATTCTGTCCAACGTTCCTTCCAGAGAGAAGAGCCTCGGCCAGGCCTCCGTACTGCCTGGGTCTGAAGGAGATACTACATTCCTATCATCAGTGCGTGAAAGTGCTCATTTCCCGATGTGCTTAACACCAGACGGGTTCCGTCTTTGGGATCTGGCCAGTTTTGGGAGTCCGCCCGTTTTACAGCTGGGGAAGTTGAGACTTAGGGAAAGAAGGTTACTTGCCTGAGATTTGACACAACTTTTTGTTTCCTGTCTCTAGGGCTAGTTAAAATATGTTACCCACGGAGCACAATTTATACAGGAAGACATTTTTCCCAGGTGGCTGGGAAATTGTTGGCGTTGGCACCTTTGGTCCGTCCACGTGCAGCTGGACACCTCTTGGGAGCTTAAGTATGGTGACCAGGCCCTCAGCGAGCAGAGGCAGGAAACCACATTCTCATCTTTGAAGAGTC